CCAACCCCAACCCCCTCCACACACACACACACAGGTGATTCAGTTCAGAAATCCAATCTGTAGCGACAACATTGATGTAATTTAGCCTTCAAGCTATAGATCGAATAGCACAGGCAAATGACACGCTGGTATACGGACAAGTGTCCTGTGTTCACATACGAGAACTTAGTTATGTGACGTTGTAAATGGCATTAGTGGGATATGGTTTCTTTAAGACGCAAATTTGTCGTCTTGAAGAACAGATGTCTGTGGTATAAAGTTAAAACTAAACATGACATAATGAGGTTGCAATCTGTTGTAAAATATTCAGAAGTTTTTTTTTAGTAGTTTTCCGAGTTCTTACAAGAGATGCTGAGATAATACTTTATTCAGATTACCCTAGCTGTCATACCCTACCATTACTGCTAATTTATCCTGATATTATTACGATATAGAGCCTATAAAAACTTGGCAGATGATACAACGATTAAAAATAACAATTTCAAGAAACTGCCTAAAATCGTAAGATGTAGTATCGACCAAATGGTCCTAGAACCCAAAACATGGCCATCTTTATATTTGTAGCTGTGAGAATCTCAAATGAAACCTGTTAGAAGAATTTTTGTCGAATTCTGACCATTACAGGAAGTGATGAAATCGAGGAAATCATAAAACCGGATAGTCGGTCTCGGAGTCGAGATTTAATCCTCCCCCACGCCCCCCCCAAAATACCCTAATATGAGACCGAAACGATAACCACGTTCTCAGACAACACAACACGAAATGACGAGGGCAAATATGCACGCCCGAAGCTGGATTCGAATCCGCTATACCAGCGGCTAAGACCCACGCCTCGGGGCCACACAGAGTCAACGTGACCGTCCCAAATCAAACCGCGATTGTCGGTGTTAACCACAAAACAGGCCCTCGTCCATTCCTATACAAAATTTCTCTTTTCTTTTGAGTATACAAGATAAATTCCAGACGGAAACCTTCCCAGTTTCTTCAAATTTAGACTTTGTGATGGTCATTATTCATGCCCTCACCAGTAATAAAAGAAATTGTGGAAGAAATACGTAAATATGAGCGAACAAGACTTGTAGGACCTGCGACGGACAGCTGATATGTCGTAGTTACTTTTACGATGAAGTACCACCTGTTGGTGGTATTGTCGTGTTATTATTAATGATGGAATTGAGATATATACAACCCATTCATCCCCTCGTCTCCTCTATAAACTCTGGTGGTTGCTATGAGGCCATTAATATATAATGTACAACGCAGATAATCCTTTCAAATCGAAACACAGCCCGAAATTAAGATATTTATTACTTTGGACAGAATCTTCATATACTCCTTTATCTCTAATGGAAAATGTCTGACTACATATAATGTAAAACGTGAAGAATCATTAGATTTTGCAACCCTGAAGGTTAAAGATTCGTGAATTTATTAACTAACTAGCTAACTAACTAGATGGCTTACCGAACCCGAAGGTTCATCACCGAATTAACCAAATCTTCTCGACTTAATCACCCTGACAATACTGGGGGAGGAGTACAGATTTTTAAGCTCGTCATTGTGCAGTTTTCTCCACGCCCCATCGTCTTCCCTCTTAGGCCCAACTATCCTCCTCAACACCCGATTCTCAAAACCCTGCAATCTGTGTTCCTCCCTCTGAGTGAGGGACCATGTTTCGCACCCATACAAAACAACAGGCAAGATTATTGTTTTGTATACTTTAATTTTCAGGTTCTTAGAAATCAGACGGGAAGACAAAATATTTTGGACTGAGAAGTAGCAAGCATTTCCGGAATTTAGTCTCCTCCTAACTTCCTCACAAGTATCATTTTGATTTGTTATTGTTGTTCCCAGATATTTGAACTTTGTAACCCTTTCAAAGGATTTATTAATATTTTTTTTTTGTAATAAATAAATATCAATGCCGATGACGTACGCAAAATATGCAAAGAACGCCTTTCGAAACGAATTCATCGCGAAATAAAAGCATTCCACGTTTGATTCATCCAGGGATAGTGAACTGAAAACCATCCTCCCCTCGGAGGGGGACCTTGCCTGCATGAAGTCTCTCATTCACTGTCCAAATACAGTAATTGCTTTCCCCCAGACCCGAATCTGCAGGGGAGAGTGACTAGCATCAACAAGTGGCTTGTCACTTGGTCTCTAGTACTCACTGAATATTAATTTCAACAGACAGAGCTCACTAGTGTTGTACGGTTGTTTTAAAACCACTGGATCCACGCGGTTTATTACATCACAACCTGTTTATGACGGAATTCCAAGGGAAATGGATACTTTTCCGTTATAGACGGGTTTGTATTTGAAGACGTCTGTCTTCGTGTAGTTTGGTAGAAGTCTAATGGCGATTTAGAGGTGTTCGCTGCCACAATCACCAAGTCCCAACAACAACCAAGAAGACGTCCGTCTGTATAATCGACGCCGCCATGGAAACGCGAAAATATAATAGGTTTCCGCTTTATACACGACTTAATACGTAAATAAAATGTAACTATTCGTGTTCTAAGAGCCATATTTCATGTAGCAGAGAGCTCGAAAGCGCTGTACGTTTAAAATTTAAAAGCCCAATGGTATATACCACCTGATAAATATTCTATGACTCTTATATTTTCTCCAGTGTCTGTTTATAGATTTCATATGATTCTCAGAATAAACATATTCTTTCCTAAAACAGCAACAACAAATTGATGTTTTGCTATGGAAACGCTTTGTGTTTTGAGATAAGAACTGAGTTTACTTCAGAAGGTTAAACACTGGCAAGGCATATAATTTGATTCTATAGCCACCAAAGGCAAATTGTATGGCCATAGACGGAAATATTTATTAAGCGGAAAATATTATTATTCCACAAACATCAGTGCACTCACGGACTATTTAGCAACTACTGAACTTAAAAAAAATAGCTCAAATATGGCGGTCGTGTGTAACCTAGCCTCACGTATGTGGCGATGTACAAATCATAGAACTCGAATGAATACCATTCTTCTAGTCACAAACAGACCGCCACTTCTGTGACAGAAGGAAACCAGTCCACGCCACGATAAACTTTTTCTGTGTTATTAAAAATACATTTTAATATTATCTTCACATCCCTCCCATTGACCCCTAGGTCTCGGAAGTGGTCTCTGCCTTTCACCTTTTCCGTTCTATGTGCCTCATCTCGTAAGTCTTGGTTTCGATTACCCCTAAGAACTTTGGGCAAAATGTACAGATTATGAAATTCATCATTACATAAATTTTTCCCGGCTTCTGATATTTTTCCGTCTTGTAGTTCGAAATGTTGTCTTCAGCACTTCGTCCTCAAACGCCGAAAATCTTGAAACAGCGACGTCCAATATGTCGAAACACTTTGAAAGAGATTTCGTCAAATGAATCTGGTTTCCTTGGCAACGAACTCAATCGAAACTTTTAGATTTTGTATACTCAAAAGGACTGTTTAGGAATGTTTAAAATGCGTCTTACTCCCAAGCTAAAGTTACAAGATCACAAGTTATCCTAAGACATGACAAAAAAAAAAGTTAAATTCTTTACGTAATTAAATCTCAAACCGTTCTCGAATAATTAGACGACACTGCATAATTATTGGCTGTATTTAATTATTCTCAAAACCGTAAGACTTTATTGAACATAAAATGTACGTTTTCTTTTATTTTCTACAACTTTTGTTCGATACAATTTAATCTCCGATTAACGTTTAACGACTTACGCTCAGGATTCGTGTAGATACTCGATTGAATTAGGTATTCATCTTAAGCGTCGGTTATTTTTGTCCAATTCTAACCAAAACTTTAGCCTGTCAGCGAATTTTAGTGAAATCAAAGTCAAATTTTATTGAAATCCGTTCAATTGTCATTTGTTACACACGTACAGACAGACGGACATATATAACGAAACTAATAGGCATATATTTTTGAATCTTTTCGTTACGAAAATACCGAAATAGGCAGTCAAGTTATTTGTGAGTCTATCCGTCGGTAAACAGCTTTGTAAGCAAGGTGCACATTTTAAAATGATTTAGCTCGGTACATGAACCCACGTAAGTGGTTAATAAGGCACATTTTGATTTGCTGTTTCCTTTTAGAAAAGAAATGTCTTAAAATTAACTCCTAGGCCCAAATATCCTCCTCAACACCCTGTTCTCAAACACCTGCAATCTGTGTTCTTCCCTCTGAGTGAGAGACCATGTTTTGCACCCATACAAAACAACAGGCAAGATTATTGTTTTGTATACTTTAATTTTCAGGTTCTTAGAAATCAGACGGGAAGACAAAATATTTTGGACTGAGAAGTAGCAAGCATTTCCGGAATTTAGTCTCCTCCTAACTTCCTCACAAGTATCATTTTGATTTGTTATTGTTGTTCCCAGATATTTGAACTTTGTAACCCTTTCAAAGGATTTATTAATATTTTTTTTTTGTAATAAATAAATATCAATGCCGATGACGTACGCAAAATATGCAAAGAACGCCTTTCGAAACGAATTCATCGCGAAATAAAAGCATTCCACGTTTGATTCATCCAGGGATAGTGAACTGAAAACCATCCTCCCCTCGGAGGGGGACCTTGCCTGCATGAAGTCTCTCATTCACTGTCCAAATACAGTAATTGCTTTCCCCCAGACCCGAATCTGCAGGGGAGAGTGACTAGCATCAACAAGTGGCTTGTCACTTGGTCTCTAGTACTCACTGAA